GTGCGTGCGTGCGTGCGTGCGTGCGTGTGTGCGTGTGTGTGTGTTTTTCCCACAGTGTGAGTTTTTGTTTGTGTTTTCTTCCCCACGGGCGGCGGCGGGGGGGCCCGGCAACTCGCGCGCGGCGGCGGCGGCGCTCCGCCCGCGCCCAAAGGGCCATGCGGCTCGGCGGCGAGCGAGCGAGGGCGGCTGGACGCGGCTCTCGGGGCAGCGGTCCGGGGGCGCGGCGGGCCCGGAGGAGCTCCTGGCGCCTCGAGGCTCCCGGCGCGGGCCCGCTCCTCGGCGCGGTGCGCCTCCGACCCAGCAGACTCGCCATCGCTCGGACGTCCACTCCCTGTGTTTTTGTTCGGCCTCGTGCGCGGCTTCTTCGCCAAACGATCAAGGCTGCTCCTCGATGGTCCTCGCCGAGGAAAAAAGCGCACGTGTCCGAGCGAGGCCAAGAGCAGAGGGCCGCGACCGGCGGACCTGGCCGACGAGCGCCGTGGCAGCCACGCGGGCGGCGACGACGCGCCGCGCCAGGAAGAACGGCGTCCTCGTCGTCAGATAGAGGGTGAAAGGGGGCACACGCCCTTACGGATATACAGTCGGGGCGTTGACCTAAGGAACGATAAGTGAGGAACGGGGCCCCTGTTTCCCACAAGTTAAACTCCGATTTCCCATGGAAGACCTCGGGAGAGCCCGAGGCAAACTGTGAAGCAATCAAGGAACCCGGAGCCCCTCCCCCACGAAAAGGGTTCCTTCTTCAGGGCCCCCGACTGCAAATCGAATCGGATCGAGCTGGCCAGCGTCGATGTCGAATCTAAGGGAAAAGGGCCCTGTGGTGTGGCCCGCCCTCCCCGCTCGAGACGCCCCCTGCCCCCATGCCGGGGAGGCGCCGCGGACCTCCTCGCTGCAGCTGTGAAGGGGCCCACGGACCTTTGTGGGCCCCGGGAACGAAGGGCAATTTTTTTCACCGCTTCCAGAAAAATGCCCCTTGAAAATGAAAACGGCAAAAAAACGGCGACCGGAAACGGCAGCAAAAACGGCTCCAGGATTGGAACCGGAGCTGGAACCGGTCAAAAAACGGCGACGGCACCGGTCAAAAAACGGCGTCGAAACCGGCATTAAAACTGCGAAACGGAACCGGTAAAAAACGGCCCTGTCGTTCCCAGGGCCCACTAAGCCACGGACTGCATTTTCATGTCTTCGTGATTTCCGTCCTCCCCTCCACTTCCCAGACGTTCCCAGATGTTCCTGGGAAGCGACGCTCATTGGTGTCTGTGTCTATTAAATCCCCTCCTGAAGGTAGCGCCCTCTGGTAGAGGTGCCGCTTTGCTTCCCTTCGATCTCTCAGTACGGTCGTGAGTCAGAAGAAGAAACAACTGCACAAACAGAAATGTTTGGTGCTCCGCGCGGGTTTCTTGGATCCGCGCTGGACGCCACTCCCTGGCGCGCGGAGCGCGCGAGGGGCGGCTCTGGGGGACCCAGCGCGGATCCAATAAAATCCGCGCGGAGATCTCAAAATGTTATGTTCGCTCGCACTCTGCAACTGTTTGAGAGACAGTGTCGGTTTGCTCTACTTCACCAGAGCTGTAGGCCACCTACGGTGCTGAGCTGCAAATACTTCGACAGGAAACGACCGGGAGCATCTGTCTGCGGTAGCGAGACGTCTGAGATCGGTCTGCTACCAGAGCTGCGACTGAACACCGATCCGCATTCTGCGAAATGTTGAGAGGCGATGCTTATTGTCTCTTCTTCTAACGGGCGAAGAACGGTATAATAAAAACTGTTTCGCCGTCGGGGACACCTGCCCCAGGGCGAATGGAAAATTTCTACCCTTACGGTGGCACCGTAGGGGTATAAACGTTCCAGCCGCCCAGGGGCAGGTGTCCCCGACGGCGAAAAAGTTAATGTTATACCGTTCTTCGCTCGCTGATTCTTAATTGTCTGTTCTCCTTCGATCTCGCAGGGCGGTCGTGAGCGGAGACGGGTGGTGGCGCGTCAGCGCCCGTCGGTCTGCCGGCGTGGGCGACAGCTTTTGTTGCAGTTCGCAGCCCCCCCCTCCCGCAGGGATGGCGAGCTCTGGTCTGAGTCCGCACAGGACGTCGCTCCGCTGACCCCAGAGGCAGGAGGAGGAGGGGGAGGAGGAGGAGGGGGAGGAGGAGGAGGGGGAGGAGGGGAGGAGGAGGAGGAGGAGGAGAGGGAAGGAGGAGGAGGGGGAGGGGAGGAGGAGGGAGGAGGAGGGGGAGGAGGAGGAGGAGGAGGGGGAGGAGGAGGAGGAGGAGGTCGCGGGCCACGTGGGGCCGCTGCGGCCCCACGGCGCGCCCTCGGTCCTGGAAGGGCCCGTGCTCCGTCGCGCTCGTCCTCCCTGGGGGAGGGGGGGGGGGGGCAGCAGAGGGCATGCTTTAGGTCTAGAGGAAAAAGAACTATGCACATGCACCGATTCTGGCCAAGCCCATCCTACCTTGGCCAGGAAGGCATATGCACCGATCCTGGGTCAAAAATGGGCCTTGCCAGGATCGGTGCATGTGCATAATTCTCTTCGCCCGAAGGTCGGGCATGTCCCCCCCCTCACAGGCGGATTTTGGACGACAAATCAACCAAGTATTAAAAACATGCCCCAAAATGATCAAACACAGTAGAGAAAATCGTCCCCGTACTGTTTGACGATTCTGAGTATTCCTCGTGCAGAGGGACGTGCCCGACTTAAGGCATGCCGATGGGGGGAGGGGCGGAGACGAGGTGGGAGGAGGGAGCCAAAGGGAGGTGTGGGGGGAAGGCGGAACCAGGGATGGTGATGAGAGGGAGCTATCATGGCATAACGGAAGTTCTGGTGTGGAAGGAGGGCGGAGGTACGTAGGAGCAGAGAGACGATAGATAAGGCATCTGAAGACGGGGAGCTGAGGATGAGGCGAGCTACGAGGACGATCCGGATCAGGGTGGGGACGAGGACGAGCACGGGAACGCTCATGAGCGGAGGCGGGGATGGAGACCAGGGTGAGCCGATGAGATGGGGGGGGAGGTAGAGAAGTGGGGGGGAGAGAGAGAGAGAGAGAGAGAGATGGACAAACAAAAACAACAACAACAACAATTACTAGCACGTGGGGACACACCGTTCTCACCAGTGCCAGGATTTTCATAGGAGGCGGGCAATACCCCCACTTTGTGGGGGGGCCGGTTCAAACTCTACCAAATTTCCAAACGACTCTTCGCCACCACCCACACCCAGCTTCCCGCCCTATGACGTTCGGACACTTCACTTCGTGGCATGCGGACGACCGTGGCTACTATTCAGGGCCCCGCGGCCGACGACGACGGCGTGCGCGCGCGAAGAAAAAACGAATGTGTCCCGCATGGTATTATTTGACAGGGATGATGGCCCTGGCAGGTGCGCAACCGTTGTTGCAGAAGTTCGAAAAAGTTGCTCGCAAAAGCCCGTTTGACAGAAATGATTAAAAAGTGTTGGGTTTCCTACGAATCCGCAAGAGCGCGCGGGATGAAATTTTGACATTTTTGTTTGAAAAACCATTGGTTTTTTGATGTTGTTATGTTAAAATCGCTACGAAAACTATGGTTTTGGAAGGATTTCGTCTTGCGCGCGCGAATGTCCACTTTACCTGATTTGTTGCAAGGGATTCTTGCAAGTTGGGTTATGTTAGAACAAGAAATGCCCACTTCAGCTTATTTTTTGCAAGGGAAAACCGATCGTAACTACACAACCGGATCCGGACCAACCCGTTTTGCCTGAGACTTCCTCACGAAAATGATGAACATGAGGCTGCGGCCTAGGCGCGGCGGGGGGGCCATGCACCAGGGGTCCCAACAATAATTATTCTTTAGAAGTAATAATGTTCAACAACAACAACAACAACAACGACGACGACGACAACAACAACAACAACAACAACAACAACAACAACAACAAACAACAACAACAACAACAACAATCACTTTACCCGAACGCTCAGTGTTCTCACCAGTGCCAGGGTTTTCATGCGACGCCAGCCAATACCCCCACTTTGTGGGGGGGCAGTGCAAGCTCTACCAAATATCCACACGACTCTTCGCCACCACCCACACCCAGCTTCCCGCCCTATGACGTTCGGACACTTCACTTCGTGGCCTGCGGACGACCGTGGCTACTACACTGGCGTGGAGTACACACCCACAGAAGTTGTTAGGACAGCGCGCGCGGGTAGAAATTTTGAAAAGTCGTGCAGGTGTTTTTCGAGGACCTACGGTGCGATTCGTGTGATTTTATGATGCGCGGTGCTAAAATTCTTAAGAAGCCCAATGGTTTTTGGAGATTTCGGCGTGCGCGCGCGAAGAAAAAACGAATGTGTCCCGCATGGTATTATTTGACAGGGATGATGGCCCTGGCAGGTGCGCAATGGCCCTGGCAGGTGCGCAACCGTTGTCGCAGAAGTTCGAAAAAGTTGCTCGCAAAAGCCCGTTTGACAGAAATGTTTAAAAAGTGTTGGGTTTCCTACGAATCCGCAAGAGCGCGCGGGATGAGATTTTGACAATTTTTTGTTGAAGAACCATTGGTTTTTTGATGTTTTTATGTTAAAATCGCTCCGAACACTAAGCTTTTGGAAGGATTTCGTCTTGCGCGCGCGAATGTCCACTTTACCTTATTTTTTGCAAGGGATTCTTGAAATTTGATTATATTAGAACAAGAAATGTCATTGTATAGTGTTTTTTGCAAGGGAAAACGGATTACAACAAAACAACCTGATCTGGATGACATCGAATTACCTGAGGCTTCCTCACGAAAATGATGAACATGAGGCTGCGGCCTAGGCGCGGCGGGGGGGGCGCGCACCAGGGGGCCCAACAATAATTATTCTTTAGAATTAATAATGTTCAACAACAACAACAACGACAACAACAACAACAACAGCAACTGAACAATAAGGCTCCTTGAACCGGCGGTCGGACTGCTCGAACGAGGCCAGGCGGCGCGAGACGTCCGTGCGGTGGTCGGCCTCTCGATGCCCCCTTTCCACTGCCCTCGCACGTGCCTCCCCGCCTCTCCTCCTCGTTCCCCCCCCCCGAAGCCCTCATGCTCTCGCTCGCTCCGCTCCTAACCTCCCTCCCTGCTCGACATCCGACTGTGCGAGTAGAGAGGGGATCTACGCCATGGTAAGGGATGGGAGGGAGGGGTAGGGTGTCAGATATGACGCGAGCGCACCTAGCTTGCCTCCCTCCACTCTTCCCGTTCCTCCGCCTGCCCCCCGCGCGCTCATCCCCATCCTGCTCCCGTCCTCCTGGCTTTCTCGTGCTCCTCATTGTCGTCGTCTACGTCTCCCTCCTCTTCCCCGCCTCTCTTATTCCTTGCCGGTCGCCAGGAGGGGTTCCCGGGCTCCGCTCACGCGAACCCACTTCGGGTCGCCCGCAGACGGCACTGCGCTCATATCGTGCCCCACCTCCAATAATCCTCCTCTCTCTCTCCTCCTTCATCCCCTTCTCCCCACGCCCTCCTCCTCCCTCTCCTCGACGTCGTTCTTCGTCTTCTTCTCCTCCTCCTCCTCCTCCTCCTCCTCATTCTCCTCCTCCTCCTCATCACTCTCCTCCTCCTCCTCCTCATCCTGCTGCTCCTCCTCATTCTCCTCCTCCTCCTCCTCCTTCTCATCCTCGACCTCCTCCTCTTCCTCCTCCTCCTCCTCCTCCTCCTCCTCCTCATGCCTGGGCCGCTGCACACCCTCAGGCACTACGTCCCGTGCACCACCGAGGAGCGCCCCACGCGCACGCATACATATATATATATATATATATATATATACACACACATGGTGCGCTTGAGATATGATTGCACACACATTTGGGTATATATATGTGCGTATTTATATTTGTTTGTATATACGTTTATACGTACATATGTACATACACACATGTAAATATACACATACACACATATATGTATATATACATATTCATATACATCTACACACATATGTGTATAATATATATATACCTATATGTGTATAAATATATGCATGCATACGTAAATCATGCATTATATGTTTCACAAAACATTGTTTTTTGATCCAAACCATGTTTTTTATCCAAACCATGTTTTTTGATCCAAGCCACTGCGCACACTGGATTTTGATCCAGACCATGTTTTTTGATCCAACGTGCTTGGATCGAAAAACGCGATCCGAGCAACCCCAGGGTGGGAACTCGAAGACCACGAAGTGGCCTACAGTTGGCTCCAGACATTCAAAATGTGGGCCGGGAATGGAGTTCTGGGAACTCGAAGACCAAGAAGTGGCCTACAGTTGGCCCCGGGCATTCAAAATGTGGCCCGGGAATGGAGTTCTGGGAACTCGAAGACCACGAAGTGGCCTACAGTTGGCTCCAGGCATCCAAAATGTGGCCCGGGAATGGAGTTCTGGGAAGTCGAAGAGCACGAAGTGGCCTACAGTTGGCTCCAGGCATCCAAAATGAGGCCCGGGAATGGAGTTCTGGGAAGTCGAAGAGCACGAAGTGGCCTACAGTTGGCTCGGGGCATTCAAAATGTGGCCCGGAAATAAAGTTCTGGGAGGTCGAAGAACACGACGTGTGTCACTGTTTGCTTAAAACGAGCCCGGTTCTCGCCTGTCCGGCTCCCGCCCAGACCCCCCTGGGGAGTCATCAGATGCTCTCTTCTGGCCCCATTAGAAACCTATCAGTCTTCGCTGTTGGGTAATATTCACCGATCGAGCTGAGAATAAGATGGCGAGTCGGAATAAGATCCAAGATTGCCGCAAAAAATGTTAGCCCGGCAAAGCAACCTAACAGCGATGTGTAGGAGCATATCTGGAAGCATTCCCCTTAAGATTCACATGAGAATCCTGTTGTAGAATTCTGCTGTTCTCGCAGTCGTAGTCGCATTCGCGATGGCAGACGCAGTGGCAACGGCAGTCGCAGTCACAGCCTCAGCCTCAGCCTCAGCCTCAGCCTCAGCCTCAGCCTGCCTCAGCCTCAGCCTCAGCCTGCCTTCAGCCTCAGCCTCAGCCTCTGCCTTCAGCCTCCAGCCTCAGCCTCAGCCTGCTCAGCCTCAGCCTCAGCCTGCATCAGCCTCTGCCTGCCTCAGCCTCAGCCTCAGCCTCAGCCTCAGCCTCAGCCTCAGCCTCAGCCTGAGCCTGCTTCACCATCAGCCTCAGTCTGCCTGCAGCCTCGCCTCAGCCTCAGCCTCAGCCTGCCTCAGCCTCAGCCTGCCTCAGCCTCAGCCTCAGCCTCAGCCTGCCTCAGCCTCAGCCTGCCTCAGCCTCAGCCTCAGCCTGCCTCAGCCTCAGCCTCAGCCTGCTTCAGCCTCAACCTCAGTCTGCCTTCAGCCTCGGCCTCAGCCTCAGCCTGCCGCAGCCTCAGCCTGCATCAGCCTCAGCCTTAGCCTCAGCCTCAGCCTGCCTCAGCATCAGCCTGTCTCAGCGTGCCTCAGCGTGCCTCAGCCTGCCTCAGCCTCAGCCTCAGCCTGCTTCAGCCTCAGCCTCAATCTGCCTTCAGCCTCGGCCTGAGCCTCAGCCTGCCTCAGCCTCAACCTGCATCAGCCTCAGCCTCAGCCTCAGCCTGCCTCAGCATCAGCCTGCCGCAGCCTCAGCCTCAGCCTGCCTCAGCCTTGGCCTCAGCCTGCTTCAGACTCAGCATCAGTCTGCCTTCAGCCTCGGCCTCAGCCTCAGCCTGCCTCAGCCTCAGCCTGCATGAGCCTCGGCCTCAGCTTCAGCCTCAGCCTCAGCCTGCCTCACCCTCAGCCTCAGCCTGCCTCAGCCTCAGCCTCAATCTGCCTTCAGCCTCAGCCTCAGTCTGCCTCCAGCCTCGGCCTCAGCCTCAGCCTGCATCAGCCTCAGCCTCAGCCTCAGCCTGCCTCAGCATAAGCCTGTCTCAGCCTGCCTCAGCCTCAGCCTCAGCCTGCTTCAGCCTCAGCCTCAATCTGCCTTCAGCCTCGGCCTCGGCCTCAGCCTGCGTCAGCCTCAACCTGCATCAGCCTCAGCCTCAGCCTCAGCCTGCCTCAGCATCAGCCTGCCTCAGCCTCAGCCTCAGCCTGCCTCAGCCTCAGCCTCACCCTGCTTCAGCCTCAGTCTGGCTTCAGCCTCGGCCTCAACCTCAGGCTGCCTCAGCCTCAGCCTGCATGAGCCTCGGCCTCAGCCTCAGCCTGCCTCAGCATCAGCCTGCCTCAGCCTCAGCCTCAGCCTCAGCCTGCTTCAGCCTCAGCCTCAGTCTGCCTTCAGCCTCGGCCTCAGCGTGCCTCAGCTTCAGCCTGCATCAGCCTCAGCCTCAGCCTCAGCCTGCCTTAGCCTCAGCCTGCCTCAGCCTCAGCCTCAGCCTGCCTCAGCCTCAGCCTCAGCCTGCTTCAGCCTCAGCCTCAGTCTGCCTGCAGCCTCGGCCTCAGCCTCAGCCTGCCTCAGCCTCAGCCTGCCCACGCCTCAGCATCAGCCTGCCTGAGGATTCAAAATGTGGCCCGGGAATGGAGATTTGGGAACTCGAAAGCCCCGAAGTGGCCTACAGTTGGCTCCGGGCATTCAAAATCATGCCCAGGAATGAAGTTCTGGGAACTCGAAGACCACGAAGTGGCCTACAGTTGGCTCCGGGCATTCAAAATGTGGCCCGGGAATGGAGTTCTGGGAACTCGAAGACCACGAAGTGGTCTACAGTTGGCTCCGGGCATTCAAATGTGGCCCGGGAATGGAGTTCTGGGAACTCGAAAACCACGAAGTGGCCTACAGTTGGCTCCGGGCATTCAGCATTCAGAATGTGTCCCGGGAATGGAGTTCTGGGAAGTCGAAGAGCACGAAGTGGCCTACAGTTGGCTCCGGGCATTCAAAATGTGGCCCGGGAGTGGAGTTCTGGGAGGTCGCAGAGCCTTACGAGAACCCTGCGGAACCCAGCCACCGAGTCGAGTGAGAACCACAGGGAACCCCTGGGGGAACCCAAAAATTCAAAGAAAAACTTTATTTTCAAATTCGACCACATTGCGCCTTTCTATACATCGACAAAAGAAGCCCCCAAGAGAACCCTGCAGAACCAAGTCACTGAGTTGACTGAGAACCACAGAGATCTCCTGGGAGAACCCAAAAATTCAAAGAAAAACCTAATTTTCAAATTCGACAGCCTTTCCCCCTTTCTATATATAAAAAAGAGAACTCCCAAGAGAACCCTGCAGAACCCAGCCACTGAGTGCACTGAGAACCACAGAGAACCCCCGGGAGAACCCAGAAATTCAAAGAAAAACATACTTTTTAATTTCGACCGCGTTTCCCCCCTTCTATACATCGAAAAAGGAAAAACCCCAAAAGAACCCTGCAGAACCCAGTCACTGAGTGAACTGAGAACCACAGAGATACCCCGGAAGAACCTAGAAATTCAAAGAAAAACCTACTTTTCAAATTCGACTGTATACATCGAAGAAAGAGAACCCCCAAGAGAACCCTGCAGAACCCAGCCACTGAGTGCACTGAGAACCACAGAGAACCCCCAGGAGAACCCAGAAATTCAAAGAAAAACATAATTTTCAATTTCGACAGCATTTCCCCCCCCCCTTCTATACATGGAAAAAAGATAACCCCCAAGAGAACCCTGCAGAACCCAGCCACTGAGTGCACTGAGAACCACAGAGAACCCCCGGGAGAATCCAGAAATTCAAAGAAAAACTTAATTTTGAAATTCGACCGCATTTTCCCCTTCTATACATCGAAAAGAGAGAACCCCCAAGAGAACCCTGCAGAACCCAGCCACTGAGTGCACTGAGAACCACAGAGAACCCCCAGGAGAACCCAGAAATTCAAAGAATAACATAATTTTCAATTTCGACAGCATTTCCCCCTTCTATAGATGAAATAAAGAAAACCCCCAAAAGAACCCGGCAGAACCCAGCCACTGAGTGCACTGAGAACCACAGAGAACCCCCGGGAGAATCCAGAAATTCAAAGAAAAACATACTTTTCAAATTCGACAGCAGTTCCCCCTTCTATACATCGAAAAAGAGAACGCCCAAGAGAATGCAGAA